CCAGCCGCCAGCCGCGCGCCGGGGCCGGGCGGTGGGCTCTGCGTGGTGTGCGGCCGCCCTGCGCTCGGAGGTGGGGGCAGCGAGGCTGCCGCTGCTTTGGCGGCGCCTCCGAGGCGGTCCCGGCGGGGAGGAGTTTCCCCAATTACACGCTTGACAACGCGCGAGGCGAAGAAAGCCAGGTTTGAATGGACTCAGAGTTTGAGGCCGGGAAGGGGGCGGGGCCCAGCAGAGGCGGGGAGTCTTGGGGATCCCGCAGGGAGCCTGAAGTAGGGTCCCAGGGAGCGGCACCCCGTCGTCGAGAGAGAGCCCCCGAGTCGGATGGGATGCGCTCCTCCTGTCATTTCAACTCGACGTGGTGGTTCTCCGGTGCTTCCTGACCTGTAGCCGGCCCCTCCCGGCGCGTTTTCAATTAGGTACGCCGTAGCGAAGGAGTGAGATGGTTTGCTGAAAGCAGTCAGCCCTTGCATCGCACACGTCGTGCTAAGTCGACTGAACTCCTATACACTACTAAGATTATATGCTTGGAAAAGTGGCTTGCTGGGGAGTGTTTGGAAAAAGCACCCTCGCTGTGTACCTTTCCCACGGAAAAAAAGTCGAGACTAACACATACCAATAAACATGGTGAAAATGAATGTTAAAGGTAGGAGAGAGAAAGACCCTAAGTCAAAAAGCAAAAGACGTTCTGTTCGATTGAACCACGAAAGGCACTTCATTCAATGTATCTTCATACTCCAAAAGCTGAAAAATGCATTTGTTTTCATTTGTAATAATCACTCAGAAAGCTAGTCTTTCACCATATGAGTATTACAATATCAGCATAGCTTAGAATAAATCCACTAAGAATTTTGCTTTTATATTGCAAAAAAAAATAGTTCTTAAAAAGTATTTTATATTTTGAACTATTCATGGAATTATGAAAGTGTGTGATAACTATTTCTTTAATATTGTCAAATAGCTTTGTTCATAAAACATAGAGAAGAGTAAGTTGAAAGTTGTCTGGTGTTTTCCCCCTTGTTCCTGGGTTCACCAACATGAAAGTGGTCATGAAGTGGATGGGAGTGTTGTTGATGGTGATATGTTTGTTTTTTTTTTAACAATGGAGCTGTGGATGCCTCAGCAGGCCATCTTCCTGTCTCTATGTGGCCTTGAGCTCACTCCAGCTCACCCCTTCCCAGGGCTCCTTCTGGCATCCTCCTCTGCCTGCCTCATCTCTCCTACTTACATGCACAGACCCAACTCAGGTCTTCTGTTTTAAGAAGACTCCCAACACTCCTGCATTCTGCCACCTCCAACACCTTGAACACTTTTTCCAGCTTCAGGGGAATATGAGCATTTATCATACTCTGCTCTAATCTCTAATTTTTTCTGTTACACAGTTGAGCACTTTTAAAATCAGTTAGATGATGACATCATTCATTAATTGTTTATAGAAGTATGTCATCTCCACATCGTTTTTAAGTGTGCTGTTAAGAAAACTGCAAATAAAAAGAAACAATTCTTCTATGCCTCAATTTTTAACACAGTAATAGGAACAAAGGTAAAAATAACCATCAGACATTGATAACGTAATAGGGACCCAGGATTGATGTGAAGGTTTTACATAGATTAACTCATTTTAACTCACAACATTATTCCCTTTCAAAGATGGAGGAAAAGCACAGAGAAGTTAAGTCATTTCCCCAAGATCACACAGCTAGGAGGTTGAAGACTGGGGGTTAAAACCCAGCAGTCACCTCCAATGGCTCAGTCTTAATGAGTATGCCATACTGCCTCACAGGTGAATAGGAGCTCAGTAAACATTTGTTGTTTTCTTCTTTGACTGAGCCATGTTTTAGACTCCATGCTGTGTTATTTATTATTTGAGCATGAGTACAAATGCTTACAATTTGTTTATAATAGAAACAGACCAATACTTGAATATTTTTGTAAAATATCAGTATAATGAGAAGTGTCCTATGAAGTTTTTGCAGTTTAACCAATGAAAAAGAAAATGTGATGCTCATTTTACATCCTTGTGTGGTTTATTCTTTTACTTTCTTGCATATGTTAAATGTGTTATTATTATGATTGAATGCAACATGGTATCTTCTGGCATTTTTAATGCTTTGCTTCACTTATTAGACTTAGTGGATCAGTTTGGTAGACTTGAACATTTTACCTTGGAAAGCCCCTCTTCCCATGTTGCAGTCAGGAACAAGACTTTTTTTTTCTTTTTTTGTAAAGCTAAGTGAGTTGAGGGGAAGGGAAAATCCAAAGCAAGCTTCCTGGGCATAAATGTGAAAGCAAAATGCAAGGTCAACAATCTAGAATCTTCAAAGGCAAGCTTTTAGGCTTTGACTTTCCTCCTTAGCCCAGCTTGACCTGCGGAGATTGGGGCGGGGGCGGGGGGGGGGGGCGGAGTGCTTTACGGAGCATGCGCAGTGCTCACCCTCCGTTTTTTGCCTGAGTGTTCTCCATCTTCAGCCCCAGAAAAGCTCACAGTTCCACTGGGGCGTGCTGGATTTGCATTCCATTCCCCAAGTTCGCAGGAAAAGAAAGGGAAATAAAAAGTGACATAAGAGGTAAGGGTTGGGAATCGATCCACCCAACTGAAGCACATGCACTTCTGTGAATATCGACCATTCTTCTGCGATGCATGCTGTTTGTTTCGAGTGTTGGCATCAGGTCCAGACTCAGGGTTTCCAGGGAAGACCCGGGCTGGCCCGCGCAGCGTGAGGGTTGAGCTGCATCTCGGCAGGAGGCGGGAAGGAAACTGAAGGGGCGGCGAGAATGCCTGCCTTGGCTAGGGATCCTTTTGCGGCTTCTCGGAGACATACCTCTCAGGATTCCTTTCGTGGCCTCGCTTCACCTCCTACAGGCGCGAAGGAGCAGAACGAGCCATGCTGCTGAACATAAGTGGACCGCTGCATCCGTTGATCTTATTCTTTATTGCTTCTGGGTTTCCTGTTTGAATAAAATCTCTCCCACTCTCCAAATTATACCTCTGAGTTGTACTATGAAGTTTAAAAAAAAAAAAAAAAACTTTCCCTACTCAACGTTTTAAAAAATTTATTACCAAGGGATAATACACTTGCAACAAAATGCACTCCTCTTAAAAGTATGGCCCAATGAATATTTACACATGTATATATGATCTGCATAAGGATAGCATGCGTATATCATCCAGACTGAGATATAAAACATTTTCCCGGTGCCTCTTTCCAGTCGCTAGGCCATCTTCGCTGGCGATACCAACCCTAGGTGACCACTATTCTGTCTTCTGTCACGTCACGATAGACTGGTTTTGCCTGCTTTTGAATGTCACATAGAATCTTGTAATATCTTCTATTTCACACCGGGTTTTTCTCACCCAATATAATGTCTGCGAGATATAGCCATGTTGTTGCATGTAGCAGCTATTCATTAGTTTTTATTGCTGCACATGGTCTTTCATTGTGGTATTCAATATACCACACATTATTTAAGTGACATGCACGTATTTGTACATATTTGGTGGACAAATGCGCTCATTTCTCTTGGTTGTCTGACTAGAAATGGAATGTTTAGACCGCAGAGAAGGCATATGTTTAGTGATAAGAGGTATTGCTAAAGAGATTTCCAAAGTAGTTTTATCAATTTACCGCCTATTGGCTATGTATGAATTCCATACATAGCCTCAATGAAACGGGGGCTTATCATTCTTTTCAATTATAGCCATTCTGATATTTCATTCAGGTTTTAATTTCACTGAGCTGTTTTCAGATTCTCAGCCATTGGAGTATCTTCTTTTATGAAGTGCCATTCAAGTCTTTGGCTCATTTTTGAACTAGCCTGTTCGTCGTCGTCTTGTTTGTAGAAGCTTATTATGTATTTTTGATATGAGTCCTTTAATGTGTGTGTGATGAATATCTTCTCTCAGTTAATGGTTTGCCTTTACATTCTCCAAATAGTGTTTTATGAATATTATTACTTGGTGTCCTATTTAAGAAATCATTGCTTACCCAGAGGTAATAAAGATTGTGTACTATGTTTTCTTCTAAAAGCTTTATAGGAAAGCTCCTCTTTTAGGTCTAGGTTTCATTTGTCATTGATTTTAGTATATGACTTTATTTATGAGTCAATTTTTTTAATTCAAACAGATAACTAATGGATCTAGCATGATTTATTTAAAACACCCATCTTTTTACCCACTGAATTTGCATAAATCAGGTGACCATATATGAATGCATCTTTTTCTGGGCTCTGTTCTCTTGATCTATTTGTCTATACTTGTATCAATACCACACATATTTTTTATTACTATAGCTTTAAAATTGTTCTTAATATTATTTTTAGTACTCTGAATTTATTCTTTTGACTGTTCTAGGCCGTTTGCATTTCTGTATAAGTTAGCTTGTAAATTTTCCTGAAAATTTTTAACTATTTACTATGAAATAGTCACAAGCTTAAAAGGAAATTTATAAGAATAACACAAAAATTTCCATATAATATAACACAGTCTACAGTCCCTAGTCTAATTTTGTTAATTGTTCCAATAACATCTGCAATATCGTTTTCCCGCATATGGTCCAAGATCCCATTCAGGACCACACAGTTCATCCCCTGTGTCCCTTTAGTATGTTTTTAATCTAGAACAATTCTGTCACCTTTCATAGTCTTTCATAACATCAATAATTTCAGTATAGACAAGTGATTTTGTAGAATGCGGCTCAGTTTGGGTCTGTCTGCTGTTTCCTTGTGATCAGATTCCGGTTATGTATTT